ATCCAACGCTAAAGTGCTCTGCAGGAACTTCAGCTTCCAACGTTTCTCGGCGGCAAACTCGTCGGATTCCGCAGAACGCTTTTACTGGGCCGCGCTTGTGTGTAACCGTATGGAAACTGGAAAAGTAATGACACTACCTGCTCCAAATCGTTTGCGGTAAACGGTGTGCTGCGGTGTACCTCCTTAGTGAATATATATAAAAATGGCATGCTGCTGTGTTGTTCCATCTTGTGGGATCCCGATAGACTGTGCTGAGCTGAATTCGGAAGGGCTAACAACCGGGCAAAACGTTCGTTGCTAGTGGCTGTTCGAATGACATGCACATACCGTTCGAACAATTTTTCCTCACCATTGCTGGCAGCAAATTGCCTTTCTAGTAAGCCGAGAAATATGTAAATAAATAAATAAATGGTATATTCCTCGGTGATTCGAGATGCACTCCAACTATGTGGTCTGATCGATGTGTACAACAGTATCGCAAAAAAATAATCAGTTTGTTCACGCTTTTTACAATGGATCCAAAACAGGCACTAAACCAATTGGTAGGATTAAGGCATTAAAGAAATTAAAAACCAGGAACAACAACGTAAGCAGATTTAAACAGATGTCCAGTTTAAGTAATGCGGCCACTCGTGGAACCATCCCCAGGGGACCTGGTTCCATGCAAGGTATTCCCTCGAAAGCTTTCACCCGCACTTCCATGCAATAACTGGCAGTGTGCCGGTGTGGCATAGTAGCATATGAGCCATCACCTGTTTATCATATGTTCTGTTCTTTTTAGAGCTGCTTTTGTACATGTATTATGGGTCATGAAGCCTCAGCCCAGTCCGTCATGCGGATCATTCTATTATGGCACTTTTTATACGCCAGTCAGTTGGTGGTAATTGGCCTTGCATAGGTAACGTCTTTTATAATCTGGAAGCTGTAATCCGTCACCACAGTAGATCAGTCTAGTGGTGGCCAACTATGAAATCAGGAGGAATCTAGAAAAGAGGAATTATGTGAAAACTATATAGTTAGTGTAAAAAAATAGGCAGGTATGTTTTTTTTTTACATCGGCGTAGAAATGGATCGAGCCGATCATACGATAAATTGTGTGGCGTGACAGCCGGAGACAGATGACTGTACGAGTTGTCCATAGGCAAAACTGATCCCATGGCGATACCATCGATCTGTTTGTATGTCGTCCCCACGAACTCAAAACGTATTTTTTCTAAACTCATTAGAATCACATCCCTCAGACGCTCTAAATGAAGGTCCATATATATAGTTTGATTAAGGATGAACTCGCATAAATCATGTACTGTTTCCCGAAAAGACACTTTGGGGACTTGGGTTCACATCTATGGAATACATGAATTCCGAGCCAAGTGAGGATTGTTCCAAACTCTCCGCTAGTTCAGTGGACCCTTTCAGGCAGAATTTAACCAGAAGTTGACGCACGGGACTACGAATTTTGCCAACCACGGAGTAAACTTGCGATGGAGCAACTTGTCCATACACTCCAACGTTGTCAATCAGGGAAGCGTTGTTCATCCGGGCACATCAACCCGTGTTGTGAACCCCAAAATCTCTGGAGAAAATCTGCAAGGTCACCTTGACATTCGTTGGGACATGCTGATCGATGTGTCAGTTATTCTGTATATAATTCCGTGCGTTTGTTCTGCTTGTATTCTTTGCTGATTAGGGGAATAACAGAAATGTTGACCTATCGCAACCTACGTCTTCCTTCGGTTTTTATGATTCGACGCAATTCCCAGAGTCACAGACGCATAAGCTCCCTATGCTAAGATTGGAAATGTTAGGTTTATGCCTTTCGTATTGTATCGCTGAATGGCAAGATTCATATGCACATTTATCATCCATGATCGAGGAATTGCCTCTGCGTTGTCGAATTTTTACGCTCACTTTCGCAAAGTTACACTTGAACGGACGAGAGGAAACCGAACTAGTTGTCTAGAAAATTCAATGGTAACAACTAGAAGGCGGAGAAGGAATCCGTTGCTTGTAATTCCCGTAAGTACGTGGTGAAGTTATTTAACACACTACTTGCCGTGTTGTAATTGCAAACATCCTCAATGTGGGCAGTACGGTATGCATGAGTTCGCTGGCTATCATTTCTTTACTGTATTTTTCGAAATGTTGGAGGGAAATAACTGATTTAAAATTTAGGCCAATACAGTGTTATCAACTTAGCTATGGGGGGAACATTGCTGCGATTAGATTATTCAAAAAAGCATTGTTTTACTCACTTGTTGGAACTAAGTAACACAACAGTTTGTACAAAAACCATACCTGTCTTTGAAATAGTTTGCACTAGACGCTGTCAGTAACTACATACTGGTACTCCATTAGCTATGGTACTAATAATCGTTCTCTACTATCCGTCAAACATCAAGCTCAGGAAGATCCTGTTGTAATTCCCAGTTGAGGAACCAGCTCAAGTCATTGTCTGTATACCCTATCAACACAACTGTCTGGACCACTGTCAGCTACTAGTAGACTAGTCGCAGTGGACCAACTACGGTGTGAAATTGCTGATCGATACAATGTGACAGCATTCATACAACGATCAGGGAGATCGATATGAACTACAGAGGCAAGTGCAAAATTAGACAGCATATACAAGTTGAATGAACTTGACGTTTACTCTAGAGATCCGTGAGGATTCATTGACGCTCGCGGTTTTGTACGATGAAACACCATAACTAAGTTGGCCGACCTAAGTCTTAATTATGCGAGATACATTTCCAGAACAGAGGTTACTTACCTAATTCCGTTATTACAGTGCGAACAGGTGGTTCGATACAGTGGAGTACTTGCAAGGGGAAGCTTCCGCATAAAAGCTACTTCGTATCCCGATGGTACATTTAATCTTCTTTTGTTTTATGCCGCTGCAAGAGTTAGTCAATGATTTGTTGACTCTCCGCGAAATTTACATTGGATCCCGATCATGCGCAGCTTAATAACTAGTCAGCGAGGGAAGTAGCTAATAGGCGCCATTCCCCCAAACAAACTGCAACACCAAATATTTACTTGCTCCATGAGTTACTACGATTGATATGACCAGCGTTCGCTGCAATGCGAATGGCGGGTCACAATCCATTCGCACTACGAGTACCCCGAAATAGTACTCCAACTAGTCGGTGGCTATTACACTGGATCACTTCCGGGTTACTGTTTCCTAACCGTCATGATGTCAACGGTTTCAACCCAGGCGGAAAAGTATCAAAAGCGGATCAATTAAGGTCGCTGCCTGAAGGTAGAATACGCCAAGTGACGGCATACAACATTTTTATGAATAGTAGCCGCGAAACGCAGTATCGGCCGGTAGTCTTTCAATGAATTTGTTGACAAACTCTAACCGAGTACCACGCGATACCTCCGAAATTGATGCAGGTGTGTCCGAACATTGGGACCTGTTAGCAATGGGAAACAAGTAGTGGGTGAAATCAAGTCATCTTGCTTGATTCCGTTCAAGTTTCCCCACAGAACAGCTAGTTCGTTATTTGTATTGGCCCGCTGATATTGTGAATGTCTGTCGTGTCGTACTTGAGTCCGGCCCACGGAAAATGCAAGAACCATCGGGAGGTTCGTCTCTACTTGTACCAAGCGTTGATCAGACCACAGCTGGAATACTGCGTTCAGGCCTGGGCACCCTACCTACCGAAGGATATCATCTGTATTGAGAATGCACATCGACTGGCCAATCGAGTGGTAGAAACCCAGCGTGGGTTACCGTATGAAGATCGGTTAGCTAACTTGTGAATGTTTTCAAATAGGATCCGTAGATTGAGAGTGGACATAATAAGGACATTATTCATAACCATGTAGGGACTCACTGATTTTTTTTAACCGGCCTTATTAGGCCATTGTTTGAAAATGGAACAGCAAAGATCAAAGCTATCTATGCGAGCTAAGCTCCTTGCAAATCGGGTTTTCCTTAGCTGGAAGAGGCACTGTACATTATTGAAATGTAAATGGACTTGAAGCGATGCTTAGACAAAAACTGGTTGGACCTGTTCCCCGAATTTCTGCGAGCGATCCCAGCAGCCTCTGACTATGTCCTCGTAAGTTACGAAACTTCACGAAAATTTGCTAGCTGCTTTGCTCTTGTCCCTATTTTTCTCTATCATAGACGGACTAACCTTGCATCAAGTCTCATTGCTGGGCTGTTTAGTTTACTGGCTTGTTAAACGAAAGCTTGTGTCGCCCTTGATCCTGTCAAGTCTTGAATTACAGTTGAGCACGGTCCAGATCAATGCGACCAAGTTGGCAGTAGGAATCCCATTTACACTATACCACCCTTTGCCCTTCAGACCATAGCTTCCGACTTACATTGCGTGACAGGAAGTCGATTTCGACTGTGGACCGTGATCGAATGTCCCAGAGGTGCTCTTTCCCTTCTCAACTGCGAGGAACGACGCGCTGAAGAGCCAGCAGTCAACAATCTGGTGGGCATAGTAACAATATTGTGGTAGAGGCTTAAATAACGACGTACTCACGGACTCATCACCGTGAGAGAAACTGTTAACAACGAATATTTTTTAACCCATTCATATGGCCCCGAGTTAGTTATTAATCTGTCTGTGACCTTCCTGCCTTCACCGTGCGGTGCTAAACATTGCGAGAAAAATCGATATTGAGCCAGTTTTTCGGCCCACGAGAAACATGAGATAATAGAATTCATCAGCCTAGCGGTGCTCTAAACGGCGTCACTACATGCGTGCACGGAAACAATCCGTATCATTGTCATGCACACTTAATTCGTCTAGCTTCTGCTACGTTAGCTGACTGCGTGTTAGGATGGTAATCATGTCATCTCGAGTGCCCACCTTTGTCACCTTATCTTCATAGCCCGAGTGAAACTGGGACCTCACAATTTCACATTTGACCTTCTTCACCCAACTGATAAGACAGATACAAGAAAAGTCGGCTGTTTGTGTCCAGGTTACTTTAAAATTGGCAACCCTGCAACAGTGCAGTAACCCTCGCCGCAGTGCCACTGCATTGCTAATGCTCAGGCGGCCAAACCTTGGTGAGCGTCGCGAAACGTAGCTGGGTCAAATAAGGTCGATCATTACACCCTGACGAAAGCAAAGCGACCTTGAGTGAGGGCTAGACCATGTCCACGTTTGATTGGCCGTCAGGTAAGTAGCATCGGTCGCTGATTGGGCTAGAAGTCATTGTACGCACTGACAGCGTAGGCGGCTATCGGACAGAGTGAAACGCGAACACAACAGCCAGCCAGTCTGGTTGAGCGTACGCTATCACGCTGGTTGGTTGGTGGCCGCCATTGTTTTGGCGGCATTTTTCGTTCGGTTAGCGGATTGTGTCCACCGGGTCGCTTTTCCAGTTACAGATGGCAGCTATCCGGAAGAAATTAGTCATCGTGGGTGATGGTGCTTGTGGAAAAACTTGCTTGCTGATTGTGTTCAGCAAGGATCAGTTTCCGGAAGTTTACGTGCCTACAGTGTTTGAAAATTATGTCGCTGACATCGAAGTGGATGGCAAGCAAGTCGAATTGGCTCTCTGGGACACGGCCGGCCAGGAGGACTACGATCGACTGCGTCCTCTTTCTTATCCAGATACCGATGTTATTTTGATGTGCTTCTCAATTGACAGGTGAGCATTTGACCTCATTTTTAAACCGTAAATTTTCATTGGTCTTAACCGAGTTTTAGCACAACTTGCCATCTACTCACCGTATTCTTAACGATTTTCATATTTTACTTTATAGACTTTAAGGGCATGGCACTGAGCGCTTCCGCTTCTTCCCCATCTTCATTGTAAGTCAGGGTTATTGGCAGTGGATCGTGAGGCTATCTGTGACAACGGAAGGGGCACGAATAAGGGACTTAGGGTTCAGTTGTAGAGATTTAGCACCATAACGAGAAACCACAGTTGTCTAGATAACTGGTAAAAATGTAGCTAGACTTCCTATTGTTTAGCGCTCACCTTGTCTTGACTGCGAAGTCATCAAAGACTACCTATTGAACACATCAGAGTTCATCCATTATGCTGATTCTCACAAGCAGACAAGCGCACTACTTATGCTGTTAAGCCTCAGTTTCTCCGCCTCCAATTAACGCTCTTTTCGACACTGGATGTATACTCGACCATTCTTAAATACACACCAATATATACATAACATTGAGGCCTCTTGGGTACCAGCATAAACCTTCATTAGGTGGTTTATCTACTATTTTTGGTCTCCTATCCCTTCATTAGCCAACAAACAACCTGGTCTCATTTAAGTTCATTTATTCAATAGATCTGAGCACTAAAGAACACGGGTCAGTTAATACGACTCCAATCGCCATGATTTTAAATGACGATGGAGGATGCATAGCGGGGGCTGTAAGAAATTATTTACCTAGCGCCTATATTACGTTACTTTTTTGAGTGGCTGTTGTATGATTACCCTTACCTCCGCGACTCCACTCCATCACAGTCTTCATTTTCGGCTTACTATTGCTTTCTGAAAACTGTTGTTCTGTTCCATCCATTCAGCTTTTTGGACAGCTGAGCTCGCTTCGCAATTTTGATTGCTATTCGTACTGCGGATAGCGTCCTCACGCAATTCAGAGACCTCGCTTGACGAGTATTTTTTCCTGCTACCACTGGTTTACGTCGCCTATCATTTTCCCACGGCCTTTGAATGTATTTCCTGTAGTAAGGATGTCACTCACCGATCAAAGGCCGTACAGTGCTCTGTTTGTGATGGTTGGATTCACGTTGCTTGCTGTCCGGGCTTATATAGATATCTACAACGGACAATGTCCCAGGCCATCGCTTTCTTTCGTGACTCCTGCAGAATAACAATCAGTGATAGACGTCTGCTTGTCGGTTTATCAGCGCTTAGTCCACGTCCCTCTCTTCCTCACACTGCGTTGCTTCCCCGGACTCAGTCTTACCTGCTGGTCCTCTTTCCCCTTGTTTTGGATTTGTAACTCCCATCGGTAAGCAAAGTCATGTCACATCCCTCACAGTAAATATTGCTACTCAACCTGCCGAGCCTCTGGTCAGGACCTATACATCTGTGGTGCAAGAATTCGCAGCGCCGTCAGGCAGCCGCAACTCAAACATGCGCGAAGCGAAACCGAACGCAAAATCTAGTGCCAAATCCAAGCCCACTTCGCAATGGGAGATAGTTACTCGGAGGGTTTGTTTAAGGGCAAATCCATTTCTCATAAGCAGCAGGCATCTAGGGACTCCTATTGCCCCCTCTCGTGACCTCTGCCTTATGGTTGTAAATCGAAGTTTTCTAAAGCTACGCCAGCTGAAAGGATCTTAGATAATGAAGCGTTTTTACAAAGGATGTTTTCATTGCTGTTTAATGAGGGTGGACCAGGATAAATGTTGTTTGCCTTTCGCATTGGCAGGAAGCAGGACTCTACAATCGCAATGAGGCTGGACCTTACCGTGGTGCGATGGTTTGCGTGCCTCAGAGATCCATTGAGCTATGCTGGGTGGTGCTTTTTTTGCACCTTCAGTGCCACTCATAACTGATTGGTCAATGGTTAGAGGCCAGACAAACTCAGCCTCCTGGTCCTCCAGGTTGGGGGTTGATATGCGAGTGGCTCCTCATTTCATAAAACGGGATCTGTAGTCCAATGCCAAAACCCGCTGCCTTGTGGTAATGTTTTTGAACCAAAGACTGGTTGAGAACCTTAGTTGTTCTCCTGTCTAGGCCTAAGCAACCTGACAGTACTCTGCCCACGCAATACAATGAACCTTTTTTTACAACAGTTTCTTGATGCTCTGGCCGTCGCAGAGGATAATAATCGGCGCCCTATCTGCTGCATCGAGCAGGGTGGATAGGGGTATGGATGCTACTGCTCAGGCCGTCCCATCTTCTTATACCCCTTCTTGTGCTTCTTCATCCTTATCGTCCCGCTCCAACTTTACTTATATCCCCCAATTTTCAATCCCCCAATTCTTGGCCCTCCCCCAGCTTTCTTCAGTAGTCGCTTGTCTTCTAAGTTCAAATCACACACAATCCCCGGGCCTCGCTCCAATCCAGTCGACAAGTCCATGTTCAACCAAGCGGACAACGTTAGTTCATCCGTTTCCCTTTGGAGTCCTCGCGTCTAGCTAAGACTGGCATGCTTCAACGTGCGCACTTTGCTGCAGATTGGCCAACAGGCAGCACTTGCCCGCACACTAGAGACCCTATCGATCGATATTTGCTGTTTATTAGCAACCCGCCTGCAAGATTCGAGCTCCGTGCTTACACTGAGATCACCCACATGCGACACTGGCGACACATTCTCATTGCGCCTGTCTGGCGATGATGCAGCTTCAAATGCCGGTCAGGCTGGCGTCGGCATTGTTTTGAGTCCCCGGGCTGAAGCTGCCCTGATTGATTAGATCCCAGTAAACAATAGAATGTGCGCCGTTAGATTAGCTGGTTCGTTCCGTGCTATGAAGTCGCGCGGGAGCAAACGGTGCCTGTTTGTCATTGCGGCTTACGCCCCTACAAACTGTAGCACTGAGTCGGTAAAAGATGATTTCTGTCAGCAACTTCACGAGCTCCTTCGTTACAGAAGGTGCACGGATACTGTGGTGTTGGCTGGCGATCTAAACGCCTAAGTCGGAAAGTTGTCCTCTGATGAGCTTCATCTGGGCGACCAACATGGTGTAGGCTCCCGTAATGATAACGGTGAGCGATTGCTACATCTGTGTGAAGATGCTCGCCTCTTTCTCGAGAGCACTAACTTTTGACATAGCACCCGCAGACGCGTGACTTGGCGGCCACCAGCCTCGGTCCAGCCATGGACGCAAATCGATCATATCGCAATCCGTTACCGCTGGAGAGACTGTGTCCAAAATTGTCGCTCAATTTGAAGCACGAGCGTGGACTCTGACCACGCACTTGTCTGTGCCGATCTCCTGGTGCGTTTCGGTGGACGTCCGCAACGTCGAAGCGAACGGATTGACACCAGCCAGCTGGTGAAGCTAGAGATTCTGAATGTGTACCAAAGTGCGCTGACATCTGGGCTGAGTAAGCGTCCACTAAACACCGTTGAAGATCACTGGTCGCATATTCGTAAGTGTTGCTGTTAGCAGGCATGTCTTCATGTGGCAAAGCAAATTGCCAAACCGGACATTGGGTCTCTACACAGTCTCTGGAACTTATGCATACTCGCCGACGTATTCCGGCTGAAAACGAATACCATGAGGCTCGCAAAAATGTCAGGACAAAACTACGTGCTAGCCTGAAGAAGGACCGCGAAACCTGGTGGTCTCATCTTACATCGGAAGTGGAAACAGCCGCTGCCGTTGGTAATCATCGTAAGTTATTCCGTCTGATACGGGAAACAGACAGCAGGAGACCTTGTGTTAGCGAGACCATACGCGACGAGAGTGGGCAGCTGATCCACAGCCTGTCAAAACGCTTAGAGCGTTGGGCTGAACACTTTGCAAGGCAATTTAACCAACCTGAGTTATCGCTTTCTCCTTCGGGCATTGAGCGCCCTTCTCCCTGGGCCATCTCCTCGGATCCGCCCTCACGCGCAGAAGTCGAACGTGAGATCAGGCTGTTGAAATTGCCTAAGGCCGCAGGGGCAGGTAGAATCCCCCCAGCCCTCTTTAAATTCGGGGGACCTGCTCTAGTAGATGATTTACGCGAGTTGCTAGTAAAACTTTGGGAGCAATAGACAGTCCAGACAGACTGGAACCGCTCCGTCATTGTCCCAGTTTTCAAGGGAGGCTCTCGTTTGGAATGCGGTAATCACAGAGGGATCAGTCTGATTTCGATTGCCTCTAAATTGCTTGCCTCTATCATTCTCCACAGACTGACTGGCACTCGTGAAAGCCAGATTCGTGAAGAGCAAGCCGGATTTCGTCGAGGTCGGGGCTGCATCGGCCACATCTTCGCCTTGCGTCAAGTGTTGGAGCACCGCCATGTTTATTGGCAACCCACCGTTGTCGTGTTTCTTGACATAAAGGTGCCTTCGAGTCAGTCGATCGATGTGCCCTTTGGGACTGTCTGTTGAGGAAAGGTGTGCCTGATAAATATGTCAACATTATCAAAGCGCTATACGCACATAGTTCGGGCAGGGTGAGGGTTTATGGCAAACTGTCGCCACCCTTCAGTATCACCAGCAGTGTGAGACAAGGATGCCCGCTGTCATCTTTCCTCTTCAACTTCGCTATTGATGAAATCATGGAAACAGCGTTCGCTGGACACGACCTAGAAGGTGTGGAGCTACTTCCTGGTGAGCGACTTCTTGACTTGGATTACGCGGACGATATTGCCCTAATCTGTGACAGCTCCCAAACATGCCAAATGGCACTGGACCGATTAGCACTGGCTGTCAATCGTTTTGGGCTATACTTTGTTCCATCGAAATGCAAAGTACTTCTCCAAGATTGGCAGGGACCCAACTCTTCGCTAACGCTTGGTAGTGATCTGCTAGAAGTCGTTCAGGAATTCAAGTACCTGGGCAGCTATATTAGCACCCGTGGGATTGAAGATGAGGTTACGAACCGTGTAGCATAAGCTCGAGGTGCTTTTTCTAATCTCCGCCACCTGTGGCGCAGACGCGACATTACTCTCGCCCTGAAGGGCAGAGTTTACAACGCAGCCGTCCGTTCAGCTCTCCCATATGACTGTGAAA